CTCTTCCGAAAGAGGAAGTTTTTCCGAAATTTGGCCCAGTGTTGATGGGCAAAATTTTGGAAAAACCTCTTCCGAAAAAACTGTCGGGAAAAGATATGCAAATGGCGGAGTGCATTTTGTGTACCTTTTTCTGATAAATCCATTGTAATCTAGACATAACCTAAGAAATGTAAATTACCTTCACTATTGTTAATCTATTCCCCTTTGTATTTGGTTACCTTTTCCAGGCCTGAAGCAGGGCTCTGTGTAACTTGGAAACTTGTATTTTTCACTAAGAGAAGTTGTTTCAATGAAAGATATTACTTCACCCACCTTGTCTCTCTAATGTCTTGGGACCAATCCGGCTACTGCAAACACAGAGAGGGCTGTGAGAGTATCAGACGATGCACTGCATTGTGTGTTATTTGTTGAACATGTGTTTAAAGCTTCTGCCAGGCGCTGCTGACAGGAACAAGGGCTGGGTTCAATATCTGGGGTTTTATCAATATGTAACCCAGAGGGGCTGACACCACTGAGAAGGGAGAGGGAAGTCTGCTCTACAGCCTTAGCTAAGAGCCAGCTGGCTTTTAGCTAGCAGACTTCACTCTCCCTACTCAGTAGTCTCAGTGCTTTTGGGTTACAAATATAAAACAGAACGGGTTCAAGCCCACCCCCCCAGTAATCTGGGAAAACTAAACATCATCCCTGGGTGCCTCTAAGAGGCAATACAACCTTGATGACAAACACTGAATCTATGTATCAGGGCTGGCCTAAGGTAACATGGAACCCTGGGTGAACTTGCATTTTGGTGCCCCAGTTCCCGTAGGTGTGACACCCCCGCATTAACCCTACCCCCCATAGGCTCTCCATCTTCCCTTTATCCCAAACCCTGCTCCCTCCTGCCCCCTAACTCTTACATTGTGCCCTCTCCCCGCCCAATCCATACACTCCTCTCTTGCACCCCTAGCCCCTGCACCTCCTTCACGCTTATCACCTGCACCTCCCACCTATGCACCTACTCTCCAGACACTGTTGCTCGGCTGCCTGGCTGCCACCTCTGTCAGCTGGTTCTTGGCAGATGAGGTGGGAATCAAACAAACACTGCGCAAGGTGCCCTCTTTGACAGGCCCAAACCACCCACTCCAGAGCCCAGCCCTGCCGTGTATAACAAAAGACAATTTTAAGTTAAAAAGGAACCCAGCCTTATTCTGTGAAAACACCACAAACATGACTCAGCAAGCGAGAAAACATAAGCAAACACCCAACCCCCAATAGCGTCCTTTGCCTCAGTTTCCTACCCTGCAGTGTGAAAGTCTGACAGATGGCTATCCCTTTAACACTCCCTCCTTTCCCTTGACAGCACTCCATTGGTCAGTAGAGTCAGAGACCAGCGCTTGTTCATGTGGGGATCACCTCCCTTCCCTGAAAGTGGGGTTGGGGCATTGATCAATATCTCTGCTGCTGCCACATGCCTCTGAAACTGGCTTACTGCTGCTGCTAGATCTTCAGCTGCTTGGCACTGCTTTCTCTGCCACCTCTGGCTGCTTTCTGCTGCTGGTATCTCTGCTGGCTTACTGCTCACTGCCACTTCTGTGACACCATGTTCTGAGGTTCCCCGCCTTAGCCCTGCTCTCAGTAATTTTACTGGGTAGCAGGGAACAGCACACATGACTTGTGTGTTCTCATACTGGGACTGCAGCCGAGCCTGGGCAGGGAGCAGAAGCTGCTACCTCCCCAGCCAGGGTCTCCCTCAGACAGCTGCTGCACTGCACAGAGCAGTGACCGGAGCAGCCAGCTTCAGCTGCTTGAGAAGCCGTTCATTCCTGATCCCTGTCCGGGCCCAGCTGCCAGAAATAGCAGCCAAACATGCCAGAGTGCAGGCACAGCAGGAGTAAGGAGCTTATCTCCCTTCTCCCCTGGCAGACTAATCTAGGCTGCAAGGCTGGTCTAACCATATAGGTGAACTAGGTGGTCACAGGAGCACCCGGTTTTAAGAGGTGCCAAATTTGATGGAACTGATTTTTCCTCTCTATTTAAAAATATATTAATATGTTATCTACTATATATTTTAGGGAGTTTGTCTGTCTGTTTGCTCAAGAGCTCCTTCTAAGTTGTAAGAGCTAAGGCCACCAAATTCGGCGTGCAGCTTCCTTTTATCATAACTTAAAGTGAGGTCAGGGTTTGGTTGTGCCAGGAAAATGGGATGTTCCTGCAGTGGGATTGCTTCTCATTAAACCATACAGAAAAGAGACAGAATCATCAAATTAAGTACAGTCTTCAAAACTGATATAGCCGAGCAAATGTTGAAAGACTGATGAGCTGGAAAAAGAGGATGGTACAACTGAGGTAGTTGTTACCCAGGGGATCTACAGATACAAATCGAGGTCTGGGGCTTCTTACAGTACCACACTATCACATGCAAGAATGAACTACAAGACAAAGAAGGTAGGAAGAACTCTGTCCTTTCTGAAATGCTGATGAACCACAGAGTCACATGATGGGTGAGATCAGACTGTGGGATGTGGCACCTTGGAACTCTTGTCATTTTCAAAGATCTGTAGCTCTCGAGTGCTTTAAGAATAAAGTTAGTGTGCTTACGAAATCCCTTTGCAAAGCCTGTGTTTCTGCACTTTCTTGCCATGTTGTCCCAGAAGGGGTTAAACTAGAAGTCTAGTGTTCCTGCTGTCTTGCTGGAGTGCCAGTGGCACGTACAGTCTCAGACACTGATTTCAGATGGCGAGGCTGCAGGAAGCGACAGACAAGAGGTCTGAAACTGGGAGTGTGCTGTATAGATCCACAGCTAAAAACAATGACTATGCTCCAGAAGAGAAGTCTGTAGGACCTATAACTGGATGCACTCACATGACAGCAGACCAGTCAACAGTGGGGGAGGTGGAGAGTAAAGAGGTCAACCGCCCCAGATCCCAGCAATGCAGAAAAGCCTGGGACTTGTGGCTGCCACCACTGCTACTGTGGCTGCAGGGGAGGCTGGAGCCCCGGAAACTTTAAATAGCCACTGGAGACCTGGACAGTGGGGTGATGCACTCCATGTAGCATGCTCTGGGTGGTGCTAAGGACTGGCTGGGTAGAGGGGTGCAACACATTCCAGGTGGTGCTGAGGACTGGTTTCTCCAGCCCCAGCTCTTTTACCTGAGTCCCTACTCTTTCCAGGAACAAGGATCCATTCCCCCACCCCCACCTTGCCCAGAGGTCTGGTAATTGTGTTGGCCTCCTACATGACAGGTAACCATACAGTGGTTTACTGGGCCAAGCTGTAACAGCCCTATTTTCAGAGATGCTGAGCACCTGTAACTTAGTCACTAAAGTTTGAAATTTTGATGTAGGTTACTTGCCCAAGGTCACAGAGTCATTGACAGAGCTGGGAGCAGAGCTCTGGTCTTGAGATAGAGCCAAGTTTGGTCCATACTGTTCCATTATATTGTGACAGTGAGATGTAACTTCCAGCAGGGCATTTTCCTTTGAAGCAGTCTTAAAAGATGATGATTAAATGTTCACTTTAGACTACTGTCTAGGACATTTGTTAGAAGCTTAAGTGATCGCTACAGGGAACTTTATCGTTCTCAGACCAGAGTCAAATAAGAATTCAAACTCTACAGAAGTTGTATTGGAAAAAATCAATAGCTACCTTTATGCAATAAATTACAAGGTGAACTTGGCTGACCATTATACAATCAAATCACTGGTACACCAAATATCAGAGCCATTTATTGCAGAGGCTTTGAATGATTTTGTGTCAAGGTGTAGTGGTCATAAAATGCAAGTCACTTCTATTGTACCCTGGAGCATCTAGTTTTGCACAGCACAGAAAACCTGCTTACGAGATATTGGTTTTGTATTGTATATGTGCAAACTTCAATAACACCCTTCAGACACAGTCCTGGTACTCAAGATATCAGAGACAGCAGTTTGTGATGGAAGAACACATTTATTTCAGTTCATTTGCCGGGGCAGTATGAGAGAGTTTGTCTGAAATGCTTCTGATGAAAACTTTGGATGGATGGCTAAAACAAAAGGTCGTTCTCTACTGCGGGAATGAGTGTTGCACAGCCTGTTCAGGCTGGGGAGCTATCTGCAACAGCAGTAGAATTTTGCCGGAACAAACTACAAGGTGAAGGAAATGGGAGGACAGTGTTTGTGGTCTATTAAAACAAGATTTTCCACTGGGAATGCTCCCTTGTTATGATATCAGGAAGCAGGAGGGACACATTCTGTGCACATGCACTCCCTTTTGAACCTGTTGTATACTGAATGTTCTCCTCCTTTGCGATTTTGCTGCTTGTTACCTTCTCTTCATCTCTCTCCTTTATTGCCACTTTAACCCCTGCAACCTTTCACCTGTTCAGTTTCTTTCTACCACTCACTATGCTTTCTAACGCTCCCCCCCCTTTTCGCCATCCCACCATCATTCCCACTCCATTTCCTCCCTTTGCCTAGTTGAAATCATTTAGTGACATTTTTTGATGACAAATGGACTTTTGATCAATATGAACATTTCAAAGATTTTTTCATTGTGATCATAATTTTCAAATAAAAAATGGAAATAAAAAACTGAAAAAACTACACATTTTTCAGTAAAAATGTTCAGCTTTCAATTTTTGAAAAGCCAACCATTTGTTTTCCTGGGAAACCCAAATTTTTACCAAAAATGGGTTTTAAAAACTAGAAGTGGTTCATTTTACTATTTCTGATTTTCACCGAGAACCATTTTTAAAGAGGAAACTGTACTAATAAAAATATTGAAAAACTCTTTAAATTAATTGGGATTTTTTTTCAACCAGGTCTAGCCTTTACCCTTGTTTGCAACAATCTCATTGCCCCATTCCTTCCCACTTCAAGCTCAAAATGCATGTCCTCCCAAATGACACCTCACAGATTTTGTAACATAAACAAGACACACGACATGAGTACAGAACTAACAAGACTTGAGCCATCATTGCTTGTATGTTGTTATATATTTTCTGTCTTTTTTAGGGTATGTTTCCAGCTGCGGTCTAGAGACATTTCCCAGAGCAGTAAGGCTGTAGCAGCATGGACAGTGGCTCAGGTGGATGGGTTTGTACTTGTATGGCTAGCCTAAGCCACCTCCCTATTATTTTTAAATGTCCTCTTTCTAGTAGGACTAGTGTGTGTCTGTTTATCCATGGTAGGCAAAATACTCCCTTAGACGGGACACTGTTTGGACCAGTGTGGAGTCTTCCTCATTTGCAAAACACCTATTGCATCTTGGACACAGTCACTAAAATATTTCTGATTCTCACTTCTTACAGCCTTAGAAACATTCGTTATGTAATATTAATGGCTCACTTTCCATGCTGGGGATATAACTGAGAAAAAAGAGGCAAAAAAAAAAAAAAGAAAAAAAAAAAGAGGCACAGCCACATAGCCCTGTATATTCAGCCCTCATTTCTCCTTTTACTGTGTTATCTTTTTCTTTTAGTCTCATTGACCTTGTTGGGATGTCTTGATCAAATGTGCTTCTGGCTAAATGTTGCTTTCCTCTCTCAGGCGAAGCCAACAAAGACATTTATTTTGCCTGATGAAAGACTCCAGGATTTGGCTATAATACACTTGAGGCTAGTTTTGTACCTTACTGCTGCAGGGGACCACAATAGGGAAGTAGGGAAGGAAACTGCCTCATGATTTAACCCACATACAGCAGCAAGCTACAGTTGCAGTTCCCTGGGTGGGGAATTGCTCCCTGCTAATCCTCTAATAGGCAGCAGGATTATGTCCTGCCCTAGCTAATGGAGACAGCTTGTGCTGGTTAAAGTTCTCCTGTGTACTAGTGGCTTTCTGTGCCTCAGTCCCTCCCAGAAATGCCATTGGGGCAGGACAGCTCTGCCCTGACCTCAGCACACAGCCATGCCCACTCAGCATAATTGAACCAACAATATTTTAGTGTTAATGGTAACTGAGTTGCTAGCTGCAGCCTTCATCTCAATTCATTTAGGGTCTAATAGTTTTCTTTCTTGGCTTCCAGTAGTTGGGGAGATGGTTTGATTCATCTTCATAATGTCTGATAGGGTTACGTGACACAGCTAATATAATGCTTGAATGGAACATTGCTCTCACTTTTCTTGTTGGACCAATTCTCCAGACTTCCTCACCATATGACACTGCAATGCAGATGGTTTAGATTAGAACTGCAGGAGAACTCAGCACACTGACAGTTCCACAAATTCTCCATATTTAATTTCTGAAATAGAGGATACCAACACTGCATTTATCTCTTACCTGTCCCCTCCCCTGGGTTTAGCTTTATTGGTAACTCATATAACCAAATCTGCTGGATTTTGCTGAACTACTTCTCTCAGTCCCTAGATCCCCCAGCCTGAAGGAGACTCCAACAGCCGCTTGTATCCTGGATGAGATGAACAAGATTCACATGTCACTATGATTCTTAAGTAATAGCCCTACCCCTTAAATACACAATATTTCAGAAAGCTGGATAAATCCTCAGGTTTTTGGCAGCTAAAATTAACTGAAAGAAGCTCAAAACCATTCACATTTAATATACCATTAGGAAGATACTGATTCTTACGCTTACCCTCCAGCATAACTTCAGTACCACAAGAGTGCCACAAAACTATACATATGATTTGTGAACACATGTATGGTACTGACACCGTGATGGATGACATCCTCAACTGGGGCTCAACAAAAGAAGAACATGACCGTAGACTTCAGGAGTGTAACTAGAGCAGCAAAACTGAAACTAAATAAGGAGAAAGGTGTTTTAAGGGTTACAGAAATGGCTTTTGTTAGGGCATTATTTCCAAAGAAGGCATAAAACCTGATAAGATGAAGATTTCAGCCACTGAAATGATGTCACGTCCCTAGTCAAAGAAAGATGTCTTATGGTTCTGGAAATGGTTAAATATTTTGGAAAATTGATACCTGATCTATCTCCCAAAGCAGCAGCTTTGAGAAAACACTTAGAGAATAAAAATGAATGGTGTTGGGATAGAGGCTCAGAGGAATCATGGGAAGGTTTAAAACAGCAAGTGATTCAAAACTAGTGCTGAAGTTCTGTGCACAAGTTCTGTCACACCCATCCCAGGAAAGGAGCAGTGGAGCGAAGTCTTCCAAATGGCCTGTAGAGACGGTGCAGAAACATAGCCAGACTGGAGAAAGCAGCAAAGGGCTAGTCGACAGAGGGTTGCAGCCTCTTACAAAAGGAGCCTCAGTGCAGATCTGAGACATGGAGCTCCTGACTCACCAAAGGGAATGAAGCACCATGGACAGCTCAGTGCAGGCAGGGACCAGGGGAGTGAGGAACAGCTCCTGGCTGGCTGCTGGATCAGGACATAAAAGATCTGTAGGGTAAGGTTGAAGTGTTGAGGAAGGCTGGGGCTGTGGAGAAGTGGCCTAGAGAACTGACAGCATTTTCATTACAAGGACATGGTGGCTACGTCTAGACTGCATCCCTCTATTGACAGAGAGATGTAGATTAGGTACATAGAAATTGCTAATGAAGCCGGGATTTAAATATCCCATGCCTCATTAACATAAACATGGCCGACGCTTTTTTCGAAACTGAGTTTTTTTGAAAAAAATGGCAGTCTAGATGCAGATCTGTCGAAAATAAAACCTTTTTCGACAGATCCTGTAAACCTCATTTTGTAGGAATACAGGATCTGTTGACAAAGGTTTTATTTTTGGCAGATCCGTGTCTAGAGTGCCGTTTTTTTTACAAAAAAACTCCATTTAGAAAAAAAGCATTGGCCATGTTTATGCTAATGAGGCAAGGGATATTTAAATCCCTGCTTCATTAGCAATTTCGATGTGCCTAACCTACATCTCTCTGTCGACAGAGAGATGCAGTCTAGACACACCCGGTGTTGTGTAGCTGCTATTCTTAGGGTCCCTGGATTGGCAGGCCCAGGTCCCCTCTAGAAGGGAATCTGGATTATTTAATGGTGCTGGAGAGTGGTGCCCAGCAAGGCCCAGGGATAACTGAACCATTCCCTCAGGAAGGAAACCTGATACCAGTGCCCGGAGATTCAAGACTGGAGTCACACCTGACCGGAAGGGGTGCTCCTGAGAGTTGTGTGCCACATAATTACCCAGAGAAATGACTGCAGATTAAGAATTCAAACAAAGATGATAAAGCTGCAAAAATATGATTTGGTTGTGACCTACTTGCCCAGTAAATTCTTGTTAATTACAGATGCACTTTCCAGAGCACTGACTCTCACCACAAAACCAGAGAAGACATTAGAGATGTAAACCCATATAGATTGGATTGTATAGTCAATGCCTGAAGCTAACAGGAAACTGCAACAAATAAGAAGGAAATGGAGAAAGATGAATCATAGCCGATCCTTAAGAAGTGATTAATGAAAGAGTGGCCTGAAGAAATAATCAGTTGCTATCCAAGTATAAGAGACTATTGGAACTGCAGACGTGAACATGCAGTGATAGATGGGGTGATTTTCAAGGACAGTAAAGTTGTAATGCCAATGAGCTTCCAAACAGAAATGCAACAGAAGATCCACGAGGGTCATTTATGAACTGAGGCATGCAAACAACAAACACAGGAAGTGCTGTATTGGCCTCAGATCAATCACAACATCACTAATGTGGTAAGAAACAGCTTTTCAAGCTTGAAATATAAGCCATGCCAACAGGCAGACCCACTGAGACCTCTTTCACTTCTACAAAGACCTTATAAGAAGGAAGGCACTGACTTAGTTACATGATAATCAATTTTATTTAATCAGTGCAGGTTATTAGTCTCTGAATCCAGAAATTTGCACATTGCACAGTACTAACAGTAAATAAGTGATAGCCAGTATGATGGGAATCTTCTCCAGACATGGCATTCCAAATAAAGCTTTTAGCAATAATGGGCCCCAATTTTCCAGTGCAGATTTGAGGCATTTTGTGCAATAGATCGGGATTTTCATCACAAGACATCAAGTTCAAATTACTCCCAATCAAATGGAATTGTGGAAATGTCTATACAGACAGCAAAAGAACCTTATGAAAAATAATTTTGACAGTAGGGGAGATTTATATAAAGCTTTATTGGTTTATGGAAGTATATCTCTGGAGAACGGCTTTTCTCTAGCTCAGCTATTAATGGAAAGAAGGATTAGATCTAATTTAGCAATTATTGATAACTTGCTGAAATCTCACAACAATGAAACCATGCAGGAGATGAAAGAAAATCAGAAATGCAAGATGAAATGTTATTTTGACAAAAGGGTCTGTGATCTCCTATCTTTTAAACCTGGTGATAGAGTGTGGAATCAAATCTCAAATACTTGGGTGCTAAGGGTACTGTGATGGGACATACCTAAGACTGCAAGAGTTAACCCTGTTCACCTAGCTGAGGAGGTCCCATCCCCTCTGCTCAGCTGGGCATTCTCTAGCTGAAGGCCAGGCAGAAAGGCCTCTAAAGCAGCTCAGTTTGTCCTGACCACAGATGGAGAAGGAAGGGCCATAGCAACTCATGAAGAAGAACTGCTGGTATGCCAGCATGCCAACACCAGCCAGAGGGAGGCCAATGCCAATGCCCCATCCTGGGACATCACTGAGAGGGGAGCTATGGAGAGCACAGCGCTAGAGAGTCAGGTAGGAAGTACCGTAGGGGAATTTTGTGGGCAGTAGTAGCCTTACCAGAACAGCTCAATGTGTTTCACTGAGATCCCTACTGAGCTGGTGGTGGGCACCCCACCACCATCAGGGTCTTGGGTTAGGATCTGATGGAGAAGGCAGAGCCACATTCTGCTGTCCCACCACCACCACTTCCCTAAGGTGGTGAACCTGCACTCGGTGTCACTGACTCTGGCTGCTAAGTTGCACTGCCCTGCAAGGGCAGGGCATTGTCATTGACCTTGGCTGTTTTGGCCACATGGCCCTGGAAGAAGAAGGCTTTGCTATTGAGCCAATAACCTGCCCAGCCAGGTTGTCTGAGTAGTCAAGACTGTGGATGAAGACCCAGACTAGTGAGTCATGTGGGGTTGAACCCCACTTGCAGGGCCTTAGAGCATGTGGCCCGCCTCCAGAGAGGGTTGGGCATACCAACCCTGCAACAAC